CCAGCGCGGACCCGGGAGCCCGAGGCGGCTGCAGCTTGCGGGGTGAGTCCGGGGGCCGCGGGTTGGCTCACCCGACGACAGGCAGCGGGCTCCGGCCACCAGGGCCGGCGGGTCCTGCGGGCGACGCCCCGAAGTAGGATCGGCCGGCTCACCCCGCTCTGGGGCGCCCCTACCGACCCCCGCGCACTTCTCGCCCGCAGACCCCGAGGACGCGGCCATGCCGGGCGGGGCCGAGGCCGGGGAGGCCGAGGAGGACGCCGGGGCTGGCTCCGGGTCGGAGGCGGAGGAGGACGCGCTGTGGGAGCGGATCGAGGGCGTCCGGCACCGCCTGACGCGCGCCCTGAACCCAGCCAAGCTCACGCCGTATCTGCGCCAGTGCCGGGTCATCGACGAGCAGGACGAGGAGGAGGTGCTGAGCACCTACCGCTTCCCGTGCCGCGTCAACCGCACCGGTGAGCCGCCGCGGCGCCGGGGTCCGGCGGGAGCGGGCCGTCCCACGGCTCTCTTTGGGGCGCGGCCGTGCCCAGAGCGCCCCCGCGCACGGAGCCCCGGAGCACGGGCGAGCGGTGCGATCTCCCGCGCCCGGTCTCCACAGCAGCAGTGGAACAGTTGTGCCAGTCACTGCCCACCCCTACAGTCCAGCGGGTCCAGGGTGCCCACTGCCCGCGTCTGCGTCTTGTCCATTATTGGGATCTCGCCCCCCCCCCCACTTCCTGGGTCCTTGTTGGAGCAGGGGTGACACCTTCCCGGTGCTGCCGGGGCAGGAGGACTCGGCCTCTTGCCCGTGCCCCTGATGTTCTGGGGTCTCCTGGCCTCCCCGCTGGGCAGAGCCCTTGGCCTGGGTGTCTGGGATGCAGCTGGGCTTTCGCCTTTCCCCAGCCTGTGTCTGTGAACCCACCAGACCTGACACAGAAATGAGGGTCCAGGGGTGGAAATCCTGGCCAGGGCGGGCTGTTTCACTTTGGGGAGGGGCGGGGTGGGGGGTGGGGAGTGCTCTTCTGTGCACACTGCTTTTGCTGGCCCTGCGCCTGTGTGTGGACAGGGCTCTGGCAGAGCTGGGGAGCTGCTGAAGCACAGCAGCCGAGGGACACCTAGCTCTCCTGCCGTGACAGGTGGGCTCTCTCCCCAGATATGTGGCTCCACTGCTCAGGAATCTGGGTGACAGGGCCCTGGAGCAGCAGGTGGAAGGGAAGGGAGGGTTGGGGGGGGCTCACTTAAACCCTGAGGCATCCCCTGTCACGCCCCAGGGCGCCTGATGGACATCTTACGCTGCCGGGGCAAGAGAGGCTACGAGGCGTTCCTGGAAGCCCTGGAGTTCTACTACCCCGAGCACTTCACGCTGCTCACCGGCCAGGAGCCTGCCCAGCGCTGCTCCATGATCCTGGGTGAGTGGGCGCTGCCACCCCACGCCCCCGCTCGCCTTCCCTTTCCAGCCCTGTCTGAGTGCCAGTGCCGCTCCTGGGAGCCTCGCTGAACAGGTAGGGAAACTGAGGCAAGGAGTGAGTGGCAGCATTTTGCTGAAGCCCCACAGCAAAGCCAAGGTGGGAGCCGGAGGCCGGTCACTTAGTCCAGTTCCGGGCTCTCACATGAACACGGCCCCTCCCTCGGCGCGTTGAGGTGGGCGTGCAGGCAGAGGTTGTGGACAGCCCCTAGCGTGCACAGATGCTCCCGCGCCGGGTTATGGGAAGAGGTCGGGACTCCTCAGCTCTGCTCTGCTCTGGCTCTTTGGTGCAGTATTTTTGCTTCTCCTCAGAACAGTGATTTCAGTGAGTCCTCCACACCCACATGCTTATCTTAGTGTTCAGGTAGGTCACGTCCTGGGTCACTGAGCTGGTCCTCACACGGATGGACAGTTGCATAAATAAGTAAATCTTAAAAAGAAAAAATCAGCGTGTCCGTGCCCAGCGGTGTACGAGTGCCCATTGGCTGTTGGTGAATCCTGGGCATCGTTTAGAGTTTATTTTGCCAGTCCGTTATGTCACCAATAGTATGCCACCGTTTTGAGTTTGTGCTGTATTGAGAGAGCTAACCGGTTAGAAAACTTTGAGCAAGAGACCTTTCTGGTCTCTTAATTTTTCTGCCTTTAAAATGGATACGAGGAAGTATACCTACCTTTCGGGGGTTCTACCTTTCGGGGGTTCCTGTGCTTGCGAGGCTGAGATCAGCGCACGACTGTCAGTCATATTGCCGGTGAGCTGCGTGTATTTCCTTGTGCTGACCAGCTGCTCTGTTTTGGGGTTTGACTATTGCCAGTTTTGATGTAGTTGCTGGCCGTATTGATTGGTAGGAGCTCTTTCTATACCGCGACTCTGAGTCTCCGTTCTGTTCCCCTCCGCACCTTTCATCTCTGTTACGTCTTCCGTGTTTCAGACGATGAAACGCTGCATGCATTTGCCCATCTTTTCTCTTGTACTTCTGGCTTTTGCACCTTGCCTAGGGAGGCCAGCTCCCCCCAAGCCCCCCAATTATTCTAGAATTTCCTTCTGACGCTGTCATGGCTCGGGCTTTTCCGGGCCGTCTGCAGCCCTCGATCTTACGGCCTGACCTGACTCTCCTCTCCTCTGTCCCTGCAGATGAGGAGGGGCCGGAGGGCCTGACCCAGTTCCTGATGACAGAGGTGCGGCGGCTGCGGGACGCTCGCAAGAGCCAGCTGCAGCGGGAGCAGCAGCTGCAGGCCCGGGGCAGGGTGCTGGAGGAGGAGCGCGCCGGGCTGGAGCAGCGGCTGCGGGAGCAGCAGCAGGCTCAGGAGCGCTGGCAGCGGCTGCGGGAAGACTGGGAGGCGGGCAGCCTGGAGCTGCTGCGGCTCAAGGACGAGAACTACATGATCGCCATGCGCCTGGCGCAGCTCAGCGAGGAGAAGAACTCAGCCGTGCTGCGCAGCCGTGACTTGCAGCTGGCGGTAGGGAGCCGGCGGGTGCAGGGGCAGCGGCTGCAAAGGGTGGTGAGCGTGGGGGCCCCCGTCCTGGCCCCCCACCCTGGGGGGCGATGTTTCTCACCTGTGATCTGGGGGTGTGGCCAGCACCTGCTTTACTGACTTAAGGCTGCGCTCAAGTGGGGGGCATCTTTGCTCCCCCGAACACTGGGCGATGTCCGGGAAGGTGTCGGTCGGCTGTCTAGCGTCTAGGCTGGAGGCTGCCGCCAAACACCCTCCGGCCCCCACGACCCACAACCGTGGGCACGCGCCGTGCCTGGCAGTCGGGGCTCACAGCCGCGTCGTCCTCAGCCGTGCTGCTGTCGGTATTAAATGCCACCGGGTGCCGGGGGGTAGCTGCGTCACACTAGCTGGACCCACTAAGGCATCTGGAGCAGGCTCTTGTTTGGAAATACACGCTTCGGCTTTGATTGTGAAGAGCCTGGCTTGTGGCCCCGAGGCCGGGAAGTGCCCAGTCTGGATTTGCACCAGGGCCTCCTGGCACCTGTGCACCCCCTGCCCCCACGCTTTTATGCCTGCTCCCCATCCCAACGAAACGTCCCCCCTCCTCCCCAGCAGCCAGAGGGGCCCCTCTTCCAGCGGAGAATCAAGCCTTGCTTTCTTATTGGGACTTAGCATGTGGGGAGAACTGGTTTTGCAGCCCCGGGAGCTGAGGATTTAAGGAGCCAAGGCTTGCTGGGATTCTGAACTCAGCGTGCAGCGGTGGTGCGCACAGGAGGCTCGCTCCAGCCGGACGGCGTGGAGGTCCCCCGGAGGAGGGGAGGACTCTGACTGTGGGGCTTGGAGCCGCCCTGACCCATGAGCGTGGGCCACGCCTGCGGGGCTGCAGGCGCCGACGGGTGCCCGGGACAAAGGCGGCGCGTGGAGGCGACCAGCCCTGGACGGGGCCCAGAGGCCACAGGCTGCCTGAGGTGAGGGTGGCCAATCTGAAGGGTGAGGTGACCGCGTGCTGTCTGGAGCCCTGCGTGGTGTTGGCGTGAGCCGGGCTGTCTGCCCTTGCACATGGGCTGCACCCCGGGGAACCCACCTGTCTCCGGCAGGTGCCCCTCTCTGCTTCAGCCTGCTCAGCCTGGCAGTGGGAGGCCACGGCGGCAGGTGATAGGAACCGGTACAGCACCCCCTGCTCCCCAGGCCTGGTCCTCCCGGCTTGCCAATCATGGGGTGGGGGTACCATTACCACCCCCACCTATGGGAGCACAGAGATGGGCTACATCCCTTTTCCAAGGACTCCAAGATGGAGGCATTTCTGATTTTGCTCTTGGCACTTCTGGGGTGATGTGGCGGTAGGTGGGTGGTGGGGGTCCTCCCTCACCTGTGTCCTCTCCTTTTGAAGTGGGCATGAGCAATTGTTGGGTGAAAGGGCTTTGCCACCCAGTGTGCTGGGCTCCACTCCCCTTGGGTTGGGGGTGGCTGAGAATCGCGTCCCGGAATCCCGGAAGCGGCAGGTGTGAGCATGTGACTGGGAAGTGGGTAAGACCCTCTGGGGCCTGGGGGGGGTGGGGGAGTACCTGCCGACTAGCTGTGGGTGCACCCACTTTTGCCACCTAGGCCATATCAGCTCTAGGCAGAGGGATGCTTTTTCCCAGCTGATGGGCTAAAGGGTGTGATCAAATGAACAGGGCTTCCCAGAAATGTAGCTGCCACGAACTTGCCTTAACTTCTGGGAGCGTTTCTGCCACATTAACACAGGCACCACAGATGGGACTGAGCAGAAGGCAGGCTCGGGTCCCCTCCCCCCGTGGACAGGTGCGTGGTGGCTGTGATTTAATACTGTTTTATAAGGTGCAAATTTAATGAGCTGTTATTTCTAAGCAACATAAACTTAGGGGATGAACGCTGTAATTTTGTGCTAAGTGAGCTTGTTCGCAGATTAAATGCACCCGCAACTCCAGGAGCCTCCAGGTGCATTGTCCCCAACTCAGCGGGGAGCTGGCTGGGGCGGGGCACCTCCGGGTGTGTGGCTGCGGTTTGCTGGCAGTGACCACGCCTGGCCCTGTAGCTAGCTGTCTCTGGCGGCTCACAAAGCGTGTTTTGTGAGGGGAAAGGAATGTGAGAGTCATTAATTTCTTTCTGGGTCCCTTGCGGAGGAGTGGACTGTTAATTCATGCATCTGCTTGATCCAGGCTCCGAGGCTTGCACGCGGGTGCTCCTTTGTGTGTGTTTGGGGGGGGTTGCGGAGGGGGGTAGGGCGAGGCGCTGCATGCTGGGCTCTGAAGCGGGGCTGCAAGTCATCTTCCGAGAGGGACCAGAGCACTGAGGGCACCAGATGTTGGCATGCCCCAGTGCAGAACCAGAGGTCGCTGTGACCTTTTCCCGGCAGTGACTTCATCTGTGGCTGGCCACCTGCTGCTCTTGTCACTGTCTCGCCACCTCAGACCCTGTGGGAATTGGGAAAACAGCCCCTGCTGTGTGCATGCGTGATCCAGCAGACTGGCCCTGCTCTGCGGTCTCTGTCGGCCAGGCGGCCACCACCCGCCTGCCAGCTGGTAACAGGTCCCGCAGCTGCTGACCTGTCTCTGGGGTTAAAGCGGTGAAGACGGCCACTGCCGTCCTCCTGGCAGTTCCGTGGTCTCTGCCCACCCATTCTGTTTGATTCTAGCGACAACTTTGGGGGGCTGGGTGGAGCGGGGTGGGGGGGCGGGCGAGGGTGGTGGACTGGACCCGCGTTACTGACGAGGCATCGAGGCACAGAGGCCGCGACTTGCCAAGGCCATGCTGGGCTGGAGCAGACGGACTGGCGCCTGGCTCCCCTGCCCTCACCGCCACCCCTTTCCTCCCCCATCAGGCTAAACTGGGCTGATACCCGGTACCAGAACTTGGGGCCCTGGGGGCGTGTCACTGCGCTGTGGCCCATCAGCCCTCAGGTCCTGGAAGAGAATCTCCCTTGGGGGTGGCCTTGGTCTGGCTGCCCCCGTCTTCCGAGGGGGCCCGGCTCCGGCGCCACAAGGACAGCGCGGCCCTCGGGGTGACCTGTCCCTGACGACCCGTGTCTTGGGCCCCAGGTGGATCAGCTCAAGCTCAAGGTGAGTCGGCTGGAGGAGGAGTGCTCCCTGCTGCGCAGGGCCAAGGGGCCGCCCCCCGGGGCCGAGGAGAAGGAGAAGGAGCCCGACAGCGCGGACCTGGTCTCGGAGCTTCGTGCTGAGAACCAGCGGCTCATGGCGTCCCTGCAGGAGCTGCAGGAGGGGCTGCAGCAGGTAGGCAGGCCCGGGGCCAGCCCCGCTCATGACCGGTCCTCCCGAGCCCGTAGCGCTGGGCATCCTTGTCGGCGCAGCCAGCTCTGAGCGGAGCCCTCCTCCTGGGGCCTGGGGTCTGTGGGTGGCCCAGGATGCCTGAAACCAAATTTTGGCGTGAACGCTTTTTGGGGAGCGGCCCCCAGCTTTCCTGGAACTTGGAGCGTCTGCGACCCTGGAAGGTTGAGACGCCAGAGGTCGCTGGGGCTGGTGGCCTGTGGAGGTCGGTGGCAGTGTGTCTGTCTCTGGCTGTTGCCCCACCCAGGAGGTGGGGGGGGGCTCTGGTGTCCCTCATAGGGTAGAGGTGCCTGGGCGGGCTGTGATTCAGGGGCTGGATTCTGGGCCTGGGCGGGAATAGGCCTTGGGAGCAGCCGCTGTCTGTTGTCCTGGTGGTGGGTGGGGGCCGGAGCGAGAGGGCTGGCCTGGTTCTTGTTTAGAGTCAGATGCTGGCTGCCTTTCTCTGAGCATGCTCATCCCTTTACCTCATCTGCACCCCAGATGTTCCCTGGAGGGTGGGCAGGGCTGAGGGGCCCACACCCATCTACATATGGAGAAACTGGGGTCCAGAAAGGTCAAGGCCCCTGGCCAAGGTGGCCGAGCTGGTGGGTTGGGTCTGGAAGCCCAGGCCGCGGGTCCCCCACCCTCCTGCTTAAGGTGCCTAGGGCCAGAGACTGAGCCCGCCCTGACCTCTGACTTCCAGGAGGCCAGCCGGCCAGGGGCCCCCGGCTCGGAGCGGATCCTCCTGGACATTCTGGAGCACGACTGGCGGGAGGCGCAGGACAGCAGGCAGGAGCTGTGCCAGAAGCTGAACGCCGTGCAGGGGGAGCTGCAGTGGGCGGAGGAGCTGCGGGATAAGGTCCGGCCCGGCCCCGGCCCCCGCTCCTGCCCGCCCTGCCCCACCGCCTGCTCCGGGGAGGGGGGGTGTGGGCTCCGCCTGTGGCCTCAGCCACGTGCCAGGGGCTGTGCTAAGAACTACAGTCATTGCACCTCAAAACTGATTCCCTACGCGGGGAACACAGCAAAGGCCCCTGCTCGGCGGAGCGTCCATTGTAGCGGGGGACAGTCAGTGCGGAGTGGAGTTAGGCGCTGGCAGGAGGACAAGCAGGAGACGGGAGCTGGGCGCGGCCGAAACGGGGAGGCCCGGCGCAGCTGTTGAGGGCCGCCGTAGACTGGGCCCCGAGGCCAGGGGGTGACGTCGGAGGAGTAGACCCCCTGGCTGAGAGCTGGCACTCGGCGCTGGGGCGTGGGCGGGTCTCTCCGCAGAGCCCGGCCTCTCCCCGCACCTGTCAGGCACCTGCTGGTTAGAGCCGCCGTCCCCAGCCCCTGTCTGACCCGCACCTCCCGCCCGCCCGGCCCGCAGTACCTGCAGGAGATGGAGGACCTGCGGCTGAAACACCGTACGCTGCAGAAGGACTGCGACCTGTACAAGCACCGCATGGCCACCGTCCTGGCCCAGCTGGAGGAGATCGAGAAGGAGCGGGACCAGGTGAGCCCAGCCTGCCACGCCCACGCCCTGGCGGGCCCCTCGTCCTGAGCGGGGCCAGACAGCAGGATGGGCGAGGGCTGTCGAAAGGAGACTCACAAATGCTCGGATTGGTTGAGACAGGGGCAGGTGGGCCAGGAGGCAGGGCACCTTGCCCCGTGAGCACACCTGGCTCACCTGATCTCCTGGGCCCGTTAGCAAAGCTGGTCCCTGCACCATTATTTCCGAACTCCCGTTCTCTTCATATCAAGCACGAGGCCTACACAGGGCTTGGGAATACTTGCTGATGGGGAAGTTTTCAACAGGTCTGGCTCCCTGGCCCTGGGACCACGCCCTCGTCTCCTGAGATCGGGGTTAGGCTGAGGTCCCCAACCCCCCAGGCTTCCTTGAGTGAGGCTCCCCATGCTGAAGGGAGCCCCTAGAGTTGTGTGGGCCTCAGAGCCCCCTGGTGGGCTGGATGAAGATGCAGATGACTGGGTGGTCTGGGTGGGCCCTGGAATATGTACTTTACCTGGCTGCCCCAGCTCCGGCCCCTGACCTCCTGCCCCTGACCTCCGACCTCTGGCCCCTGACCTCCGGCCCTGGCCCCCTGCCCCGGTCCCTGGCCCCCGGCCTCCAGCCTCCAGCCTCCAGGCTCCTGTCCCAGTCCCTGACCCCTGGCCCCCAGCTTCCGGCTCCCAGAGGCAGCGGCAGCAGGTCCAGTCCACAGGCCCAGCCCTCAGGGCCCTGGTCTTCACTGTGGAGAGACGTGCTGTGGTTGCCAGGGGCTGGCTTGAATCCAGGCCCCTGCTAACTGGGCTGCTGCAGGAAGCCCTGGCACACAGGAGGTCTCACGGGAGGGTCTTCAGCTGCTCTTGGGACATGCAACAGCTTGGACTCCACAGCGAGACTGCCGGGCTCAGAGACTCAGCTCAGTCTCCGGGGCTGGGGTCTGTCAGAAGTGGACAACACCTCAGGTGGAGATTCGGTGTGAATGTAAATAGGGGACCACTAGCCCCGGGCCGCGCCACAGGCCAGCTTCGTTCATGCTAGGGAGGCAGGCCCCCTCCTCCTCACCGGAGGCCCAGGGGCCGTCTGGCACCAGCACCTGCCTGCTCGCTCCCCCCAGGCCATCCAGAGCCGCGACCGGGTGCAGCTGCAGTACTCCCAGAGCCTCATCGAGAAGGACCAGTACCGCAAGCAGGTGCGTGGGCTGGAGGCCCAGCGGGACGAGCTGCTGACCACGCTCACCAGCCTGGAGGGTGCCAAGGCCCTGCTGGAGGCGCAGCTGCAGCGGGCCCAGAGCAGCGCCTGCCTCAAGGTGAGCGGGGCGGGGAGAGCAGTCCTGCTGCAGGGCCGGGCCGTGGGGCGGCGCTCGGCCCAGGGTGGGGACATGTGGTGGGAGACTGGGGGAGTGGGTGGGACATGGCGGACAGCAGGAGGTCTCCGCAGGGAGTGAGCGTGCAGGACCGAGGGGACCCTGATATCAGACCCACCGGGAGCTCTCAGCCGGCTGGGAGGTGCAGGGTGGAAGTATGTGGGTCCTGGCTGGAGCCTTCCCCTGGGGAAGAGCATGCAGTCCTGGAGGGAGCTCGTGGGCAGGAGGGAGAATGTGCATGTCGGGGGGGTGCCTCGAGCTGGGGTGCTGTGATGGGTGGGCAGGAATGGGGCTGGGAGCATGAGCATGTGGGTTTCTGAGTTTGGGCTGCTCCCGGGACGCGTGGAATAGCTTGAAGCCTGTCTCTGGGTACACCTGGAATGCAAAGCGTGCCGTGAAAGCCTCTTAGAGACGAGCTAGTCCAGTTCTGTCATTGTGCGGAGCCCAGAAAGGGTCCAGTGTTTGCCCAAGGTCACGCAGCACTGCCCCTCCCCGCCCCCACCCGGTCTGTCCTGTCTTTTAATTGCTGGAGTCTGTCAAACATCAGCCTCAGGGCTCTTGCACGCACCATTTGAAGATGCTGTTCCACTGCCTAGACCGTTCTCCCTCCTGCCCAAGCTTATCTGCTGAGCGTCTGCGTCTTGCGTTTTTGGCTCAAGCTCCTCTCCCGAGCGCGCTGATGCCCACGCTGGGGCCGAGGCCATCCGTGTCGCTCCTTCCTTCCTGTTCACTTGGCAGCCTGGGGACGTTTCCTTCCTCCCCTGCTCCTTCAGTTTGTCTCCTCGGGCTGTGAGCGCCATGAGGGCAGGGATCCGCTCTTCCTGCCGTGGCTGCTCCGGGCACACGTGGACGTCGAGCGCTGACCCCTGCTGGTCCTGGCCCGGCATCGCTGACCTCTGCTCCTCCTCCCCCAGGCCTGTGCCTCCTCCCACTCTTTGTGCTCCAACCTCAGCAGTACCTGGAGCCTGAGCGAGTTCCCTTCCCCACTGGGGGGCCCAGATGCCGCCGGGGAGGCTGCCATCGTGGGGGGATCAGAGCCCCACACCTCGGTGAGATACTCGCGGGGAAGGGTCCCGATCCTGGAATCGCCAGCACGGCCAGTGTCCAGGAGGCTGCTGCCCCGTTTCCCATGAAGCCCCCAGGCCCAGTGCCTTCTTAGCACCCCCAGGCCCAGCTCGCCTCACAGCTGCCTGTGTGGGGTGCCATTCGCTCCTTGCCAGCTTGCAGAGCCCCTGCTCCCCTCTGGGCCCATTCCCATCCTGGGGTGGGGCACGAGCTAGGAGCTCTGAGGTGTGCGGCGGCAGCCAGGCCTGTCTGGTGTTGCAGGAGGAGGCGATGGATAGCGAGAAGGAGATCAACCGCCTCTCCATCCTGCCCTTCCCCCCGAGTGCCGGCTCCATCCTCCGCCGGCAGCGTGAGGAGGACCCTGCACCCCCTAAGAGGTATTCAGTCTGGGGAGAAGTCGCTGAGGGCAGGGGTAGATGGTTATTTCCGGAGCAAACGCCACATTCCAGAATCCCTGATGTCAGAGTCAGGCCTGGCCGTCACCAGTGGCTGGAGCTCTGGAAGCCGCAGCCCCGAGACACAGGTGGCTGAGGTCAGGGGTTCGCGGAACAAGCCCAGCAGGCAGAGTCGGTCCAGCTTGAGCTGAGCACCCCTCGGGGAAGTCACTGGGGCAGGCCAGGCCGAAGAGCCGATCCCCAGGAGAAGCCAGGGGGCTCAGGGCCGGGGTGCAGAGACTGTCTCACATCAGATGTGTCTGCCAGTGCCAAGAACAGGGCAGGGTGTCCCCCTTTTGGCTCCTGCCCCCCGGTCCTGGCTTTGCCCTGTAAATTGCTCCCTTGTGGAGCACGGGGAGCTTGCTGGGGTGTGTGTATCCGCCGCAGCTGGGGTGGGTGGTGCTGTCTACCGTGACCCAGGTAGAAAGTGGGGGTGAGGGCTTGGGAGTGGGTCCCGGGATGGGGTGACATTCAAGGGCCAGCCAGGGCGTTCTTGGAGGCATGACATGGGGCACAGGCCACAGGGGGCTGCCTGCCTTGCGCTGGGGCACTGGGGAGCTGTGGGCCCAGCCTGAGTCTGCAGCGGGGCTGAGGGAACTCCCACTGGCAGGGGCCGCGGGGGGAGGGAGTGGGGCCAGGCCCATGTGCCCAGCCCCACCGCCGCCCTCTCTCGCCCAGGTCCTTCAGCAGCATGTCGGACATCACAGGTAATGCCCCCCCCGGGTGGGGGGGCCCTCTGCCCACCTGAGTTCTGCGCTGCCCGCTCTGCCCTGGCCTGCGACTCCTCCATGCCCGCTGTGTTCCTGCCCACCCGAGGCTCTGCTCCTGGGGGTGTCAGCCCACCCTGAACCCCGTCCTGGTCCCCCTGCCTGGCTGCTCCTGGCTTTGTTCTGCGGGGCTCCTCCTCGCGTCTGGCCTACCTTCCACTGTCCCCCAGGAAACCGAGGGATCCCCCAGGAAACTGGTGGCCCGGCCCAACTCTGAGCCTGGTGGGTCCATGGTGTTCCTGGGACCTGAAATTCAGGTCTCTGGATCCTGGGCCATCTCTGGCCTGGGTGGGTAGTGGCGGCCAGTGCCTCCTGAGGGGCCCAGTCCTCCCTGTTTCTCAGTCTAGCATCCCTGAACCCCACTTCCCCACCCCCAGGGAGCGTGACACTTAAGCCTTGGTCCCCCGGCCTTTCCTCGTCCTCGTCCTCCGACAGTGTGTGGCCTTTGGGAAAGCCGGATGGCTTCTTGGCCAGGGGCTGCGGCCTGGATCTCAACAGGTACTGCGCTGCCCCAGGCGGGCGGGGCTGGGGGAGCTGGCCCAGACTCTGGAGAGGGCGGGGGCGGGGTGGGGTGCGGGACAGCGGCTAAGCCTTGGCCCCGTGCAGCTGTCAGGACAAGGTTTTTGAGCACAGACAAGCTGGGGATTCAGGCCCTGTTCCCGCCATTCATCTTCCCCTTGTGCTGGGGCACTGCCCCTTTGCTCCCTGGGCCTCAGTTTCCTCATTGGCTAAAGAGGACCGTGGTCTCTTACAGGTGGGTGCTGAGGTCTGGGACTCACGTCAGGAAAGCAGCCAGCTTTGCCAGGTGTACCGCAGGTGTGTCGTCGGGGCAGCTGCCCTCCGGGCCGACGCCCTGCTCACCTGGCCTGACGCAGCTTCCGGCGGGACCCGCCGCCCGGCACAGTGTGGCGCGGTGGGTTGCTGGGGCCGCCTCTGGAGCCCGCAGCTGGACTGGCCACAGACTCTGCTGACCATAGACCATCCGGGCGCTGTGCTGTTAGTGGCCGGGCTTCAGACCCACCAGCCGGTCTTAGGAGGGGTTGGCGGTGCAGGAGTCACACTGAGAAGGTGGCCTTTGGACTCAGCCATGGGGAGAGAGCAGCTGGGGGCGGGGGGAGAGGGCAGAGGCTGCCAGGGCCTGGTGGAGCTGGAGGAGCTGGGCAGGGCTGGGCTCCGGGACAATGGGGGAACGCTGAGGCTGCCGCAGCAGGCTGTCAGGCTTTGTGAGTCAGGCCGGGAATGTGTGGACTTTGGCTTGGGCTGTCTGGAAACCTGGGAGGGATGAGCCAGCTGCCAGGTTGCCTTGTAGCATTCTCTGTTCTGGGAAATGTGCGCTGGGAGGTCATCCTTGTTCTGTAAAGGAGGAAACTGAGGCCCAGAGAGGTCACAGAGCCAGGAGGTCCCAGGGCCAAGGCCCACAGAGCCCTGTTCAGATGTGGGCTTGGAAAGGGTGTAAGAAGCACTGGGTGGCAGGGCTGGAATGTGGACCCAGAGGACAGCAGGGCAGCAGGGCCAGGGGCCTCCTGCCTCCTGGACGCAGCTTGGCCAGGCCCCCGCCCCCACCTGCACCCCCCGCAGTGGGCCGATGTGACATTGTTTCTCCCTGCGCAGGACGTGCTTGGGGGGAAGGGGCGGAGGCGCCTCCCTTCCTGCCTGCCTCGGCCCTTCCTCCCGCTCAGGCCTGACGCAGGGGTCCTGGCTGCTGTCCAGGGGGTGCGGGATGTGGCAGGAGGCTCTGGCCCAGCCCCTGCCGGGGCCCCAGGATCACATGGGGCCACCTCTGCCGCCTGCCCCCTTCTTACAGAGGAGGGAGAGGGGTGAAGAACAGATTGGGGTGAGGCCATGGTGGACAGAGCGAGAGAGGTGGACAGAAGACCAGAGAGGGGTATGAAGCGTGGAGGGTAGTGATCAGCTCAGTGGAGAAGACACTTTGGGGCTGAAACCCCAGCTGGGTCACTTGCAACTTGGGGGCAAGTCAATTTTGACTGCTTCCGGTTCCTGCTCTGTGAAAATGGGGTCGCATTGTTGCCGGTGACCTGGGCCTTGGGAGGGTCCTGGGTTCCAGCCAGAGTGCTTAGTACTGTCCAGGCTCTTAGTGGGTGGTCAACACGTGAGCTCTTAGCCTCACTGCTGCCGGGTTCTCCCAGGAGAACTGCAGGGCTGGTATCTTTAGCCCCAGGTACAGATGAGGAAGAGGCGGCCCAGTGAGTTAGGAATTTGTCGTCAGGCCACTAGGTGGTAGAGTTGGGGATTCCCCTTGCATTCCTCCTGTCTAAGTTACTTTTAATCTCGTGTTTCTGTTGAGGACTCGCTGCTGGCTGGGTCTTTTCAGCCCCCAGGTCTTCCCTGCCTGCTCAGCTCTGAGCCTTCGGGGCAGGGTGGTAGGTAATGGACAGAGGGGGCGGCGGATAAGCCGAAGGATGGACAGACAGATAAAAGGGGGGGTGACAGTGAGGGGGAACTGAAGAGGGCCAGTGGGGCGCTGAGCTGGGGTGTGTGAGGGTGCCGTCTCTCCTAGACAGTGTCTGATTAGTATGGCATGTTTGACCCCCCAGGGCAGTGTTCTGGAAACTTCCTGAGTTCTAACTCATTAGGTGTGTGACTAGTGAGATAGAGATGGGGGTGCTGGGACAAGAGGCTCAGCTGCCAGGCTGTCTGGCCCGAGTTCCTGCTGGCTCCAGCCATTTTTCTCAATGTCTATTGTCTCACATGTTACTGGGGTAGGGGTGGGAACAATAAGGCCCTGCTTAGGGAGCAGGCTGCTATTTTACATTTCATTCCACTAACCCATCAGCGCTGGTGGGGGCCCAGGTAATGTCACAGCCCAGACGGGCCGGCCGACTTCCACCTCTGCCTGTGCTGTCTGGATGTGCGTCTGACCCTCACACCTTGCAAGCGAGCTGGACACAGGGTTGTCTTTGCTTGTGGACAGTTAGCCAGAAGCAACTAGCTCACGCAGCTGGCCAGGCCCGTTACCGCTGACGCTTGCTTGGATGGTCCGTGTGGCTCCAGCCATCCAGCCACTGGGCAGCACGGCCAGGCCCGGTCTATGGGCTCCCAAGGCCTTTTCCATTCCATGCTACCTGGATGCAGCCGGGGTCGGCGGGGCTGAAGGGCACCCATGAAGTAGCGCTGATGCCTGCAGTACCCGTGTCCAGCTCAGCCCTTGGGACCAGCTCCGTTTGATGGAGTCAGGTCCCCTGGGGCCTGAGTGCTGCGCTCTGTCTGGGTGCTGACTGGGTGACGGTCCTTGCAGCCTCGCCCACCCCAGGCTGCCGGCAGGGGGCAGTGTGGTTGTACGCATGCTGCAGCTGCCAGGGTGGGTGGGGAGATGGATGGCCACCTGGGATCTCCCTGCGCCCTGCTTCAGCTGAGGCACAGCCCCTGACCCTGGCTTCTCCCCTTCCCTGGTACCATGTCCCGAGAGTCATGGAAGAGCCTTCCGGTCAGTTTTCTCTGAGCCTGGCCACACAGCCTTGCCAGTCCCCATCAGGACCAGGCAGGGTCCCTGCCCGGCGAGGGATGCCCGTGTCTAACCCCCAGTGGCTCCCACTGACCATGGAGTCGAGGCCTCCGCCCGCATGCTGTGCCCCCCACAGGCTGGCTTTAACTCACCCTTTCCGGCAGCTGATTCCCAGGATGTTAAATTAGTTAATTGGGGCACGGAGCTGCGCCTGGTGTCTGGCACATGGGAAGCACCCAGTAAGTGTCTGCTGCTATTATTATTGTGTTATTATTCCTTCTTCCACACATCCTGCATTCTGTCCTCCACACCTCAGCCTGCAGCCATGCCTCCCGTCTGCCCGAAGGGCCTGGCCGCGGCCTCCTGGGCAGCCTCGCTCCTGCCCGCTCTGCGCTGTGCTGTGCCCCAGTGCACGCTGTGGCCGAAACTGAGCACAGCGAGTTTCAGTCACCTGCTATGTGCCACACACAGTGAGGTTCTGAGCTAGGGGCCGAGGTGGACACAGCGGCCGAGGCTGGTTCTCAGGGTGTTCTTGCTGGTGGAGGAGACAAGGGTGTACTTGCTGGTGGACTCCACTTGGGGTGCAGCGGGCGCACTCTGGCCAGCAGCTCTGTCCCCTGGGGCCAGGTCTGGGAGGGAGAGGACACTTCTGACCTGGGCTTTGAAGGATGAGCAGTATTTGTCAGGCAGAGAAGAGGGGGAAGAGCATTCCAGGTGTGCTGGCCGCTGGGGTAGGTCTGGGTGGGGGCAGCCATGGCATACTTGGGGAGCCACTGTGGTCCCCCAAGAATGTTCACCTGAACCAACACACTGTCTGGGACTCTAATTCCTATGTTCTTTCTCCCTTCTCAGGTCACTGGCCATCCGAGTGTCCCGCAGGAGCCCCCCTGGGGGTCCTGAGCCGCAGGACAAGGGTCCAGATGGCTTGCCACTCCTTGGGGACAGCTGGTCCGGGTTAGCGGTGCGGAGTGTGTTCTCTGGGCCTGGGTCTGCCAGGGTGGAGTCACGGGAGGTGAGGCTCCGCCCCCTTGGTTTGGGGGTGGAGTCCACATTTTAATTTTAGCCGGGTGCCCTCTGATTGGTGGATCTAGGTCACTGGGCGGGGTTTATGGGGATTGGCTGGCCCTGAGCGAGGCGTGATTGGGCAGGGGCTGGGAGGCGGGGCGGGCCGATGCGGCCCTCAGATCCCTGCCCTTGAACTTGGGAAAGACCCCTATGAGGTGGGCTGCTTGGATTTTGACAGGGCGGGCCTCCTGTGGATTGGGTCATCTGATTTATGGGCCAGGGTCACCTCCACCCAGGTCTGCCAGGGCTGTTATGTCCCGGAAGCTCACTTTTCCCCTCCCTGCCTCGATTTCCTCCCAGCCAAGGGTGGAGGCCGCTGGCCTGGAGGGGGCAGGCCAGGGAGGAGAGGCCCAGCAGAGAACCTTGCCCTGGACCCAGGTGTCCACACTCCCCTTCTTGATCGACTCTAAAGGTAAGTCTGGCCTGGAGGGGCTGTCCACTCCCACAGGTCAGCACTAGAAGGTCAGAGCTGAGGGCCCAAGGGACGGCTCATCCAGCCCATGGTATGGGTGGGATGGCCAGCCCTGTGGGGGAGCCCCTTCCCCCTCCCCCCCTCCTGGCAGTGCCCTCCCTCCTGAAATGCTGCTGCCTTACTGGTCGTATGTCCTTTAGCCAAGTGAGTGGTGAAAGACAATCCAGAGACCGGGGTTCGAGTCCTGGCTCTGTCCCTAGTGGACTTGGTGACCTTGGGCAAGGCTCCGTCCTCTCTGGGTTTCAGACACTCACATTTTTTTTTGACTGTCAGGAAAATTGCTTTCTTTAGGTGAATCAAAAGACAGAAATAGCACAAAGTCATTCAGGCAGTGATTAGGATGCTGGTAATGGCCACGATGAGAAGGCTGTTTTATCCACGAAGCTGGGGTCAGCACAGCGCTGTGCGGGTCATTGATCCCACTGGAACCATGTGAAACATGACAGGAACCGTTCTCACCTGCACATTCTCGATGCTGCCTAATGATTTTGGGAGGGAAATCCCTTTTCCATTAATGAGTAATGATTGTACAGATATATGTTAGACACGTGAGAGGAGAATTATGTTTCTGCTTGGTATCCCGCGTCCCTTGCTCATTCAACCGTCTTCCCAACGTGACCGTCAGTTTAAGAAGGGGAAGGTGGGTGCTGTCAGGCCTCCAGAGGGTCCCGGCTGACGGCACCTCCTCCCCTTGTCTCCCTCCTGCCGCTGCCCTGTCCACCCAGCCTGCCAGTCCTTCCATGAGGCCCTGGACGCCTGGGTGAAGGGGCCAGGCGCCGAACCCTTCTACATCCGAGCCAACCTCACCCTGCCTGAGCGGGCAGACCCCCATGCCCTGTGTGTGAAAGCCCAGGAGATCCTGCGGCTGGTGGACCCAGTGTACAAACGGCGGCAGGAGTGGTTCTGCACGCGGGTGGACCCCCTGACGCTGCGGGACCTGGACCGGGGCACCGTGCCCAATTACCAGAGGTGACGCAGGACCCGGACGAGGGTGCTGGTGCTGGCGTCAGGAAGGGGACCGTCTCCCTCCTGTGGTCCCTCCCTACCTCTGGGACAGGGTGGGGGCTGGAGAGAGGAGGTGACGGGCTCCCTTCTCCTATGAATGCATGATATGACTTCCCCTCACAGAGCCCAGCAGCTCCTAGAAGTTCAAGAGAAATGTCTGACCTCCAGCCGGCACCGCGGGCCTCGCAATAATGTGAGCAGGGCTGGGTGGGAAAGGGTGGGCAGGGTGTGGGTGCCAAGGGCGGGCTCTAAAGGGAAGAGGGCAGGCCCAGTGCCAGGCAGCCCTGTGCTCCTTCGCGGGGATTTAGTTCATCACCTACTATGCGCCCAGCAAACAAGAGCAGCTCACAGCCAGGGCAGTTGAGATGTTTAGGTGAGAGCACGCTCTGTGCTCAGGAGTGGGCCTGGCACGCGCGAAATCTTGGCAAAGACAGCGGTCACATCCCCTTTCCCAGGCCCGGACGAGGCCGGCAGGGCCATCCCTGCCCTGTGCCCTGGACAAAGATAACTCGCGATCAGGGCTAGGAGGGGGTTGAGAGTGCGGGCTCTGGCGTCGGACTGCTGGAACTTGAACCCAGCTCTGTGACCTCGGATGACACCTGGCTCTGCCTGGAAGCGCTTGTTTTCTCATCTGTAAAATGGGGGAGTCACTGCCTGCTTTGGGGGCAGTAGAGGCTTTCATGAGTCCCTGCACACCCGGGGCCTGGTTAGTGTGCTAGGCTGGGTTGTAGGGATTGAGACCTGCGAGCCATTTGTCTAATCAGTACTGACATCGTTCATGTCCTTGCCCTTCCGAGCCAAGGTCACATCACTGAGTCATTGAGACAGCCCAGTTTGTCTCTTATGCGACTTCAGGCTCCTCTGGTTCCTGGGCCTCAGTTTCCCCACCTAGAAAGTGGGGGTAGACCTGACACATTCTAGCTTTAACGGCCTCTGACAGGCTTGCCTCCTGGCTGTAGGGGTGCTGGCCCTGGCCTGCCCTGGGGGCTGTGTTACCCCGCTGGGGCAGGACAGGGTCTGTGGGGGTCGGTGGGGGTGTCTTGTTGCTGATTCGCTGAGTTTTCCCTCCCCGTCTAGCTGAAGAAGCGGGCCCTGGACCAGCTGCGGCTGGTGAAGCCTAAGCACGTAGGGAGTCCTGCAGGGGATCCCCCGGAACAGCTGCTGCTGGAGCCCTGCTCGGGTGAGTGGAGGCGCAAGGGTTCAGCCTGCGCGCTCACCATGCCTGGTGGCCTTGGCCATGAGGGCCTCTGAGGAGGGACCCTGGGTCCTGCGAGGCAAAGCTCCCCTGGGATGTGGGCCCCCAGGCTTGGTATGGGGGTGCATGTGCACAAGTGTGATTGTGGGTCTGTGCAATTTTGGGGTACACTAGCGCAGGGACCTGCTCTATCTAGCAGAGCAGTTATCACAGTGTGTTGGGGGCCGGGGTGGGGAGGAGGCTGGTGCCACGAGCCCCGAACCCCACCCAGAGTGGGTTCCTGGAGGCAGTACTGTGAGGTCTTGGGTCAGAGCGGGGCGAAGGGGCTGGGGCGCCCACTGGAGGCGAAGCTGGTTAGGGAGGACTTCCTGGAAGGGAGAGTGTGTGAACTGGGGTCCTCAGGGGCCAGGAGGCGCGGTCTGGGCGACACACAGGCATGGCTGTGCACGGTGTGTTTTGAGGGCCGTGAGGGCCGCACGTGGGTACCCAGCTCTGGGGCGCTTGTGCTTGGCCCAAGGGACGCACCCTCCCCTGCCCGGAAACGGCTGCCTGGTGTTTGGGGCTGCCGATGTCTCAGCCGGATTGTCCCCCGCCCCGTGAACTTACATAAAGACGGAGTGTGGCGCGTGATGGGGAGACCTGGGTGTTGAGGGGCACGTGCCGGGGTCCTGGCAGACGGGGGTCGGGGACATAGGACTGGGGGCCCCTGGGAGAGCGAGGGTTAGCTAGGCCAAGAGATGCAGGGCGGGGCTGCCAGCGCCCTGGGGTGTGCGGGGGCCCAGGGAGGCCGCCATGGGGCGCGTGCCCGGCCACCTCCCTGGCGCCGGGTCACGGGTGGAGGATGTGGCCCTTTCCCTGAGTGCTGTGCAGGATCTTTGGGGTTTAGAGCAAGGGAGGAAGAGCACCTGGGTGTAGTGAGAGCTTCCCCCCAACTGCTCAGTGGGGCGTGGCGTGTGGGGGAGGCAGAGGACTGGGGAGCGGCCTCCCGCCGTCGTGCGGGCCCGGGGCGCGGCAGCCCTGCCGTCTGTGTGTGCATGCGTGTGTGCGACCCGCAGCAGAACACGGAGGGACACAGAGGGGCCTGAGAGGCCATCCTGGCACGAGGAGCCGGTCCTGCCTGCTGCCCTCTCATCTGCACACTCGCCCCACCCTGCAGAGCCAGAGCGGAGCCTCAAGCCCTACAGCCTGGTGCAGCCCCTGCTCGTGTCCACGCTGCGGCCCGTGGTGCTGTTGCCCGAGTGCCTGGCGCCCCGGCTCATCCGCAACCTGCTGGACCTGCCCAGCTCCCGGCTGGACTTCCAAGTGTGCCCCGCGGGTGAGCCTGCGCCCCGGGGAGGGGAGGGCTGGGCGGCCCGGGGGCAGCCAGGCCCACCGGTCCTTTGCTCCTCTGCTGCAGAAAGTCTGGCTGGGGAGGACCAGGGCACATCCTCGGCTCCCGGAGCCCCCAAGGCCCAGCCCGCTACCCCTGGCCTGGGCAGCAGGATCCGCGCCATCCAGGAGTCTGTCGGGAAGGTAGGCGCTGGGCAGGCGTTGCTGTCCCTGACGGTGGGCTGCCAGGTGACCGGTCCCGTGCCCCTCGAGCTGTCGGACATCTTCCAGATTCATCCTTGTTCGCAGACTGGCTCCCACCCACCAAGGGGATGGGGAGGGCTAGCGCCACCCTGCCGGGGGGTAGGTGGCACTCCCCCGCCCCCCTCCAGGCCGGGCCCCTCTGGTTGGGAGCAGGAACCTGTGGGAGGCTGGGCCCAGGCCCGGGCCGGAGTGGAGTGTTGCTGGGCTGGGGGTACAATGTGGCTTTGCCCCCCGAGAAGAAGCACTGCCTTCTGGAGCTGGGCGTGCGAGGCGTGAGGGAGCTGGTCCAGAACGAGATCTACCCCATCGTCATCCACGTGGAGGTGACCGAGAAGAACGTCCGGGAAGTCAGGTGTGTCGGCAGAGCGGGGGACCCCGGTGCGTCCTCCTGTCCCTTTCCCGTCTCTGTCTCCCCCGCTCGCTGGCCTCTCCCTCTGCTTTTGTCCCTGCCCCCTCTGTTGTGTCTCGGGCATCCGCGCCCCCTGACCAGGCCCTCTCTCTCCGCAGGGGGCTGCTGGGCCGGCCGGGCTGGCGGGACTCGGAGCTGCTGCGCCAGTGCCGCGGCTCGGAGCAGGTGCTCTGGGGGCTGCCTTGCTCCTGGGTGCAGGTGTCTGCCCACGCGTGGAGCCACTCGGAGGAGCTGGCCAAGGTGGTGCGCGGGCGCATCCTGCAGGAGCAGGCCCGGCTCGTGTGGGTGGAGCGGGGCGGCGGCAGAGGCGGCCACGGCAGCAGCGAGGCCTGAGGGGCCGCCTGACGTCGTCCCTCGTCCAGAAGCCACCGGAGCGGGGGCCTTGGCGTGGCGGCGCGTCCTCGCCCTCCTGAGCCTCCTCCGACTCTGGGACTGCCAGCCGCTGGGCCTCAGCCCTGGCCCTCCTGCGGGGAGCCCACAGAAGCCCCACGCCGCGCCGGAACCCCCCCTCCTCATACTTGCTGCTCTGGGCCACCCCGGGGCCCGCGTGTCTCCACCTCCCCGTTCTCGGGGTCAGCTCGTGACATTTCTTGTGTACGGGTCCCCGCGGGGCACCCCGGTCCACTGTCTACCCTCCTGTTTTCTCCTCTGTGTCCACGGTTCTCTCCCATGTAAATGTCCCCCGTCCCCCTCCCCGTTGACACCTGGGCACCGACGAGTGTCCCTGTGAGCACACCCAGGACTATGTTCTCACAGTGTCTGCTCCTCATCCCGCCTCGCCTCTTGGGGGGACGGTGGGGGGCAGCTGCTGCATCACCAGAATGTACAGCTCGTGAAGTTTTAAACGGGCCTTTTACACTCAGAAGCTGCACAATGCGGAACATTAAAGTTTGTCATAGAAGCTGCAGGCTGTTGCTTGCTTGTTCCTGGCCCGAGTGCCCCCTCCACTCCCCCCACTGTCCCCACCCCCCCACACCCACCCCCTCAGGCTGATTCTGCCTTTCAGGTTCCTCTCCCCTGCTGGAGTTGGGGAAGGTCAGATTTCGCTCTTGACTCATGTCAGAGCCGCTCACCATCTGTGCCGCCGGCATTACCTTACCTGCCCGAAAGACCGGGGGCGTGGGGGGGAGGCCCCGCTGCAGAGGGCCAACCCTGCCTGTGTCCGCTCATCAAAGGAGTATCCGCTGGAACAGGACAGGGGCCAGTGGGCTTAAGGGGCCCAACTACTGAGGCCAAGAACCAAGAGCAAATTCCTCAATGTGCAATCCGTTATCTGAGACAGCTCTGCCAGAGGACCTCCAGTGGGGGAAATCCAGGCAGACTTCCTGGAGGAGGCGCCACCCAGGACTTCTTTCTTCAAGGACCAATGTTCTGTCCTAGGTCCTTCTATGGCTGTCCTCAGCTGCAGGGATAAACTTGGGCCAGGCCCTGGGGACTTGGGAGGGGAGGGTGGGTAGGGGCAGGGCATTCTCCTGAGCAAAGGCTCAGAAGCAGAAAATGTGCTGAGTTTGGCCACTCAGGGAGTGGAAGGATGAGGCTGTTAAATCCAAGTTTGGGGGTGGGGGCTCAAAGTCTGGCTCAGACACCACTCCACAAAGCCTGCCTGACTCCCCCGGCCCTTGGGACTTCTGGGCTGGGCCACGCTGTGCTGTGTAGCAGCCTGCTGGGTGTCCGTGGCTGGCTCTGGGCTCCCTGGGGTGGAGGCCCCTTGCTGTGTCTCTAGTAGCCCTCTACGGAATAAGAGTGAGTGATCCTGAGCGTCTGGCCCAGCGGCTCTGCAGGCTCTGCCTGGCCCCACATTAGGCCCTTTCCTTTGGGTGGGTGGGGGGCACCCTTCAATCCTCATCTAGTCTTATTTTGGCCCCATTTTACGAATGATTTTCAGAGAGGTGCAGCAACTTGCCTAGAGTCACACAGCTAGTGAGTGACCCAGTGAGGATCTGAAGCCTGGTCTGTGTGGCGCCGAGCCTGGCTCATCCCCTGGGTCTGAGAAGCAGCTGGCACGCCGCTGGCCTGACTCGAGGCCTGGCTTTCCTGGCTCTCCCTCCACAGTGCTCATGTGTACACCACAGTACCAGTTCAGTTCACCAGCAGTCTGATGCTTCCTTGCGTTTCATGAATAAATTTTGTCTCAGCTGTGTGCCAGGCACCTTCTAGGCAAAAGGGGGGTCCAGTGAATAATAAGAAGAAATCCCTGCCCTGATATTTCATGAAGACAATAAATTAGCCAAATAGACAGGATGTTGGATGATGAAAAGTGCCTGGTGAGAACCTAGCAGAGAACAGGGCCTGGGAAGAGCAGGCCTGGAGTGGGGCAGGGAAGTGGGGGGTGGGGTG